ATATCGTCTACAATAAGGTTTTTAATAATACATAATATTATTTTTTATTCTATTTACTTAAATTTTTTTAATCACGAATATAATAATAAAGTTGGGTAAATAGCCTTAAAATTGTCCACCCCGTGCATCGCACGGGATTCGTACTAGTTAAAAGCAAAAAGAAAGACTAAATCGAACTTTCAAGTTTCAAAAGTAGAAACCCATTTTTTTTTTTTTTTTTGGCAGAAACGTAATTGTGTATGGAAGAGGAAAGAGAAACTCAGGGTGATTGTTTACAAAATAATTTACTCACTCTTATTTCAACTCAAAATCTAACTCAACTTTAACTCAACCCTACTATCTTTAATATTATTCATATAATTAAATAATACAAACCAATCATTCTTACACATCACATCAACTTTAATTTACTATTCATCCACTCACATAATTTTAACTACTTACCATTTCCAATCATTTTCAATCATTTATCTCTTACTTTTACATCAAATCAATTTTAATTATTTTATTTTAAATATTATTTTAATACATTCTTAAAATTCCACTACAACTAACCATACAACCTTTTTCAAAATTAACTATAGTTAACCAAAATAACTCAATTTGAACAAATTATTTCATAAACAATCAAGCCCTCATAATTTCACTTTAGATTTGAGTATGTAGTTCTATTGTAGGGTTTCTTCTAATTTTTTGTGTTTTGCTGTTGGATGGAGACGGTCTAATACAAGTGACAATTCCTTAATTTTTAGTTTTAGCCAACAATAAATAAATATCAATGAATGTATGGTTGTCTACTTCTCTTGCGATTTTCTTGTTAACATTGGTTGACCTCAAAATTATTGAGAAGGTGCTAAAATGTCTACTCCAAATCAACAATAAATGACACCTCTAAAAGTTAGGGGTGAGCACGGGTCAAGTCGATTCGATTCAAAAAAACTTCAGAATTGAATCGGACTTTGGAGATTCTAAAAATTAGATCTCTAGAACCGAACCGGTTCCAATAAATCTATGTTCTGGAGATTTGAGTCTAATAGGTCGGTTTGGTACGGATCGAAGATTTTGGAGATTTTTATTTTTTTCAATAAAAATTGAAAATAAATCACCTAGTTACATGGTAGATGGTACATATAATGGATTAAAGAGAATCACAAACTTCTCTTAATTTCGAAAAGAGTGATAAATATCTTTTAGTTGTAAAATATCATTCATTCAAAATAATAAGTATCATTCATAAAAAGAGTGATTTCATAAAAAGAGTGATAAATATCTTTTAGTTGTAAAATATCATTCATTCAAAATATAATTTAATTTGAAAGATTTCTATGCTAATTGTTATATGCCAAAATTCCGCATGTAAGATGTGTCAATGAACAATAATCAATTTAAAGATAGTTACTTGTTAAATAAAAGGATGTTGTAGAAATATTTATGTCTAAATAATTATTCTCTTCCGACATTGTGAGATACGCACATAGTATATATAAAGTTTGTTATGAAAAATGAAGATATTTAATATTATTTAATTATAATTTAATAAATAATCGGTATATCCGTTCTTCATCCAATATTATGGTAGAACTATCTATCCACTTATTTGTATTTTAAAACATATCACCTTTAAATAAATAATTATCTCCGAGTTTTGTGAAAGACTTACTTCATAAAGGCCAATTTCCACACATTTAATATTTAAATTTGAGTAAGTTATAATTAATGATTTCTCAATAAAATATTTGACATATTGGCCACCAAATTTTGTGATAGGAAGAGTAAATTAATATAATTTTTTTTTTTTTTTTATAAATTGATTCTAAAATGAGATCTTAGATTTAATAATGTCTCATAACCATACCAAAAGAAGTTAAATAACGAGATCTTAGGGAGGTGTATTCAATTAAGATTTCTACGGACTTTTGAAAACTTTAGAAATCCTGGTGTATTCAATTTAGATTTGTTAAGACTTTTAAAAATCTTGGGGTACTCAATTGAGATTTTAAAAAGTCTTACATATCCTGCAATATTTAACTTATTTGACACTAGGATTTGTCAAGACTTTATAAGATTTGATGGGATTTTTAAACAAAAAAATCTTATACGAAATTCTACTTCAAATCCTACCTCCAGACTTAGAATTTCACGGAATTTCCAAAATTTGAAAATCTTAACAAATCTCAAATTTTAAAAAGTCTCAAAATGTCACTTGAAATACCCAAGTCCCGCACTAAGTGTTGGGGATGAAATCGATTTGATTTTCAGAACAATTCTATAATCTCCAAGTCCCATGGTGTTCATAAGATTTTATTTATTTATTTTTTTTTTACTGTTACTAAGATTTACTATACATGACAACATTAAAATAGCACACATGATTTGAAAAAAAGGAGGTGCCACATTAAATATTACCCCTCCCCCATTTCCAAGGCGGCAAGAAATCCAAACACCTCCTACATTTAAATTGTCGTCCAACAATAAAGCATTATATTTTTTTTAGCCGGCCACGGTATTTGGAGCGTTGCCCCGACTAATCTATTGGTCCGACTAATCTGTTGGTCTACCCGAGTCGCATATCTGACAATGGGAGTGAGTCTCCCAACAAGGGGCATTCACAAGGACTCGAACCCAAGACCTTACTTAAGGGACATCAAGCTGCTTACCACTTGAGCCCAACTCATGTTGGTACAAAACATATTTAAATTATACTATAGGTCCTCAACTTTCCTTATTCAGTTTATTATTTTACTTTTTTCTTCCATTATTTACCTTATCACACAACGGTTAAAATTAGAAACACAAATATGAAAATAATTTATAAATTAACTAACTCTTACTTTTTTCATTTTTTTTTCAAGTATATTTCAATGCATCTAATTTCTATTGCAACACATAATTTTTTAAGCTCTTAAATATTGGGAAAATGCTATCATTTCATCGAGTTTGTAACCGATCATCATGTAACCGATCTAATGGTTACAAATTCCGGACGAAATCTTACGTAACTATTGATACCATCTTCTTTGAACTACTACAACTCTAATCATCATATTTATGTCTTAGATTTGATTTGATCATAATGAACTTTCAAAATATTTGAAAAAGCGCGTGGGCTCCTCAACGACTCTTCCGGGTTAGAGCAGTCACATGATCTGGAAAAAAAAAAAAGGACAAAAGGCTCAATTGTCTTCCGTTTTGGGCTTCCTTTGTTTTATAATGGCCGATGTGCGACTGTGAATGCCTTAATTTGTTCATATGCCCTTGCCTTTTTGCTGCCACTAGACTAATGGGTAATTAATAATTATCAGTCCTCCACTCATTGTGCATTCCAGCTCATATTCATTTCCGGGAAATACTAAGTCCGGTTACGAAACCATCCCGTCGGGTGTTTTAACCGTTAAATCATTTATGTTGTACTAACTACATGTGTATCCAACAGTTAAAACTCCCGACGGGCCGACTACATGGTTTCGTAACGAGACCGTATTTTACACAAACAAGGGGTGGAGCATCTTTTGTTTGTTTTTTTTTTTTTTTTTT